CTTTAAATTTATATACCCCTTGAATCATAGGAAATGGAGCTATATATTATATAATTAAACTTATATAGCCAGTTAATGCCAAAGATGATGAGTAGATACTAACTTCCACCTACGCTCTTCTATTTCTAGCCTAACTTATTTATTGAAGAAAAAATAAGTATTATTTACTCTTTATTAGTTTGTAGCCCTCATTAGCAGTTTATGATAGTGTAAAAGAAAAAAGAAAAGAAGGCTTAGGAACAAAAAGCTACATGCAAAATTAATTATTTTTATGTTCTGGCAAATGGACTATATAACTAGGCAAAAGAGAAGTTGAACAAGAAGCTAATTTTAAAAAGAAAAGATGTATCTACAAGTGTCAAAAAAAAAAGCAGTTTTAGAGATGACTGGCCTGATCCAAGTGATCCTAAGAAATTTGGAAAACACTGACTACTGACTTCATTAAATCTAAAATGCTATCAATCATAGGATGTACCATTATTTTATCTGTCACGAAAAAAGAGAAAACCAATTAAACCGTGACACAATGCTGTCTTATGTCATCAATTATAAGATGCATCTTGCTTCCTGAAATGTTAAAGTGTTTCTTAAAATGCACATAGTAGAATCAATGAAATACTCTTAAGCTTAAACCCATAGCAATTGATTAGGTCTCTAAACTCAACATTGACTGTCTTCCCCAGGAAAGCCCTTGACACCCAAGATCCTCATCACTATCATTTTATTCTGAGAGGAGAAATTTTAAAGTGACTGTGAGTTTGGGGGTTTATTCTCCTTTTTTAAGAGAAAATTGGTTTTTAATTCATTCTCTGTTCTTAGGTGAGAGAATGGCAAAATAAAAATCTTATGTGAAGATCGCTTATCTGTGTGGCTTTTCAGGGAGGAGGAGACACATTCCATTAGACAGTGAAGATGAGCGTGCATGTTAAAATATCAGGCTGCCCTTTCAAAGCTTGTGCATTCACTTGTGAATTGCTACCGAGCTGCACTGTCTTATCTGTGCTCTGCAAAATTGTGCTGCTCTTTGGTCTCATTATCTTTTTTTTTTTAATTTTTTAATTTTTTTATGAACATATAATGTATAATTAGCCCCAGGGGTATGGGTCTGTGAATCGCCAGGTTTACACACTTCACAGCACTCACCATAGCACATACCCTCCCCATGTCCATAACCCCACCACCCTCTCCCTAGCCCCCTCTCCCGGCAACCCTCAGTTTGTTTTGTGAGATTAAGAGTCTCTTATGGTTTGTCTCCCTCCCAATCCCATCTTGTTTCATTTATTCTTTTCCTACCCCCAAACTCCCCACGTTGCCTCTCCACTTCCTCATATCAAGGAGATCATATGATAGTTGTCTTTGTCCAGTTGACTTATTTCGCTAAGCATAGTACCCTATAGTTCCATCCACGTCGTCGCAAATGGCAAGAGCGCAGGCATCTGCGGGTTTTGGAGAATGGTCTCATTATCTTATCACTTCTCTGTGTGTCCTCTTTCGGGAAAGTCTTTGTGTCAGTACTGCTGCACTTAGTGACCCACAGAAGTCTGGTACCTTTGAGCCAAGCAAGGAAACTAATCAGGACCTAAGGACCGGGAGGAGGAGGGAGGAATTTAGACCTGAGATTGGTCTGTTCTAGGTCTCCTCTTCCACCCTCGCACCTGCACCACTAACCCTGACCAGCCTACCTTCAGGGGGAAGTGGGGAAGGAGGAGGCAGACTAGAGTGCATGGGGAGTTTACACTTGAGCTTCGAGTCTAAAATGAGTTTCAATAAATAGGAAAAAGAAACACATTACTGTCTATCCATACTGAAACATGCTAGGAGCATTGGGAGTGCCACCATACTCTTTTCTAAATTTCTCTAAGCTGTGCTCTAATTCAGAGTTTCCCAGTTTAGACACTACTGACGTTTGGGGACAGATAATTTGTTGGAAGGGGTGGGAGCTGCACTGGGTAGTGTAGGATGTTTACCTGCATCACTGGGTTTCAGATGCAGGTAGCACCCCCCCCAATTGCAACAACCAAAAATCTCTCCATCGCCAGCCAATGTCCTCCAGAAGGCAAAATTACCTCCCCACCTCTCTCCATATGAGAACCTCGCTCTAATGTCTCCAGAAAGAAAAGCTGCAGCGAATGGAGTAAAACTCCAAATAATAACAAATGAGCAATTGCTCCTCCACAGAGGGCTAAAAAGAATTCCTTATTCTAGAATTGGCCAAAGTCAAGCAGAGAGGGGGAAAAGATGATTACCATCACTTGCAAAATATTGTTTGGAACTGCCTTGTTGTCTCTCACCTTCTTTTGGAATAATGTCCATTGAATTATATGCCAGTTGAATTATGTGATGATTCTCATATTTAGCTCAGAGAAAACAACTCTGCATTTTATTCAGTGACCTCTAAGAGGCGCTTTGAAGTCTGACTTACGTTTATATATCTTTGAAAATTCTTTTGTCTCATCAATTTTCCCAAGTTCTTCCCGTATGTTCTGTCTTGCTTGGAATGACTCAGGCGCTGACAGCCTAGGAAATGAGAAAACATAGTGCATGAGTTTAAATACCTGAAAGGAGAGAATTCACTGAAATCAGATTTATTTGAAAGATGATGATTGGTCCCATTATACAATGATCTTTGCTGTATGAAATCATTTCTTATAGAAATTTTAATAAATATTATTTTATTAAGTATTATTTTTTGTCACTTAAGAGTAGGCATCAATTGACCACACTAGTATGAAAATACACATTCTAAAAAAATGAATAATCATTAACCCATAGAAATTTATTCAGAAACTTTATTGTAATTTACATGGGTTTTGCTACAGACTTGCTCAGTAACAGCAATGACTACCTCCTGTGCTGTTTGGAATCTCACCTCTCTTATCCTCAGCATATGTGTTGCAAAAGAATTTTCTTTTTTGGTTACATGTGGGTTGTTTGGGATTGGGCTTTTAACATTTTTTGGTAATGTCTGGGGCAAAAATTTATCAAACTCTCTTATTAGTTAAGTCAGAAAACTTCAGAAGAAATGACTCATCTGTACTCTTGAAAATATCACACTTGGAAACCATCAATTAACACAGTATGGAATTTACTTAACAATGCTTTTTGAGGTGTCAAACTCTTCAACTCCTTTGTAAAATAAATCTCTTCTTAAGTGATCTGGTTTACTTGAGGTCAAAGGGCCACAAGGACTTCACTTTTCTAGAAGCATGAGGTATGTATGCATGCATGTATGTATGTATGTATGTATCCAATTCTGGCTCACATTCTCTCAGCCTCAAATAGTCCTCCTTAGCCTCAACAGCCTCTACACGGTCACCTCCCTTCATGCCTCATTCCCTGCTCTGGCCCGCCATGACATGCTCAGAAAGACACTAATGGTGGATCGTCAACTTGAATGGCCTCCTATTTGCTTCCTTACATTGTAGTAGTGTTTGCTGCTGTTAACTAACCACAGTTCTGTCATGGAACTTCCATCCGTTGGCTTTATAAGGCTGCTTTCTCCTCCTCTTCCTACTCCCCAGATGCCAGTGTCGTAGTTTCCTCTTCCTCCTCCCTAATCATATCTATCTTTGTGTTGTAGACTTGATCCAGTTCTCTTTCTCTACTGTGGCTTAGAAATCCTACCCAGCCTCAGGGCTAGTGTATGCCTCCCAAATATATAGATTTGGAGTTCGCACTCTGGGTTTAAAATCTAACTGGGCCTCAGTTTCCAGTAGTTGTACCAGTAGGTCCACCACGCTGTCATGTGCGTAGGCTCCCATTCTAGACTCATGGCATCACTGTTGTCTTTGCCATCACCACACTTGAATCTAGAAGAAGCTTTCATGTCCCCCTTTTTTTCCTTCATGCCACACATTGTAGCAGTGGCAAACCAGGTAAGAGGGATTGTTATGATGTCTCTGCTGCCCCCTCCCTTGTTTTTCAGTCTCACATCCTGGTTCAGGTCCTTGTACCCTCTCTTGCAGCACGTGTCCTATTTTCTCCTTCTGATTTGTTCTACAAACCGCTGCTACAGCTTATCTCTTTATAAAGAATGATTCCTTCCAAAGAATGGAACAGTTTCCCAAGTTCAGAAACTTGTAGTGGTCCTTCTGATTATGCAATGCCTTCTACTTTCTGACGTCAACCTACTTATAGCTGCGATGTCCCACATGCCAGTTAACCCAGACAACTCCCTGTCCCCTGAATATGGTCCACTTGCTTGTCTCTGTGCTCTCACCCTGATCTCCAAGTATCCTCTCAGAACCCACACATCAGCGGCACCTGAGAATTTGCTAGAAAAGCAGATTTGGGCCAACCTCAGATCTGCTGACTGAGACACTCTGAAGGGAAGTCCCAGCAATCTGTGTTTTAATAAGCCCTTCAGGTGATTCTGATGTGTGCTAGCATTTGCAAACTCGAAATGCTTTTTCCTGTCCTTTCTGCTAAAATTTGCTCACATTTTTTTTAAGATTTTCTTTATTTTTTTGACTGACAGAGATCACAAGTAGGCAGAAAGGCAGGCAGAGAGAGAGGAGGAAGCAGGCTCCCCGCCGAGCAGAGAGCCTGATGCGGGGCTCGATCCCAGGACCCCGGGATCATGACCTGAGCCGAAGGCAGAGGCTTCAACCCACTGAGCCACTCAGGCGCCCCTGCTCACATTTTTTTTTGAAAAATTGCTTAGATATGAGGTGTGTCTATGAGGTTGTCTCTGATTCCCTGCTCTGCTCCTACATCAGCCTCTGTCTTTATCATGCCATTTGCAAGGTTCTTCCTTATTTCCCACTTATATGCACCTGTTGGGTCACCCCGGTAGATGTTATGCTCAAGGATAAGGAGGGCATGTGTGTGTGTGTTCGACTTTGTTTTATCCCCCGTCTTGGTATTTTGTCATTTGCTCTATATTGTTAAGAAATAGAATTGAAAGCAATAAATAAAACTTTCCTAATTTGTGAGTGATGTCATTCATCAGAATCTGGAAGGTTATCAGAAGCAATGAAATAGCACTTATAATTTGGGAGAATAGCTTTAATATTTTAATAAAATAAATCCAGTTTTTATTCTCACATGCCTCTTCTATTAGGAGGGGCCTGTCTGATATTGTGGTATTGACTTCAGAACATTTTGATGGTCTGATCTCTGGAAAAAAAAATTCTAACACCCAATAACATCACAGAGACAGGAAGTGATGTTTTCAGAATGCAAAGTCCATAGTACTATCGCAGTTGGCATGGTTGTTTTATCCAAAGGTGTATCTAGAAACAAAGAAAACCTTTTCCCAGACAAGTATGAAATTTAAGTTTTAAAACCAGTGTGCCTACATTTACCCAGTTGTCCTCCAGCTGTGATTTGAACTCTTAGCATTCCATTTTGAACCGCTGATATTTGTTGATTGATTTGAGTATTATTTAGTTATAATATAAAACCAAGTCATGATGATATGCACATATGTTTGATATAAAATAATCTTACAAGCCCAATTTTCTTAGCGAGCAGACTGGGAGGAGGGGTGAAGGGCAGAGAAATGAAAGGCAGAAAGAATAGGGTTTGGGTGTGTCACACTGGTGAGAGTAACCAATCTATAATTTCAAATGTAGCCATAAAGTGCAAAAACCTTGCTTTAATCGGTTTCTTTGCTTGAGATTGGGTAGGCAATTAAAGTTGCGACCAATTCACGCTTCTCATGATTGGCCGTAAAGAATTTAAGGTAATGAGTTCTAAATTAGGAAACTCACAGAGCGTCTACTCTATACTCAGCACTTAGAAAATGGCACCTTAGCTCTTAAAACCTCCCAGAAGGAAGATACAACAGCCTCATTTGACAAATGAAGTTGCCTCTGCAGGGGAGGCTAAGACCCTTGTCCAAGATCTACAGTCTGCATTGAGGAAACTCACCCAGACTTGAGCCTGAACACGATTGGGGCCCCTTGAAAGATGAAGGTCAGTGGTGCTCAACCTTCAGGTGCTTGCCGTCCTTTTGAATTCTAGACATTTTGGCAGGCATTTTAAAGAAAGGCAGAGACCGGGAACAACTCACGTCAGTGCTAGCTGTAGGGTAAACCCTTCCCCAGGAAGCAGTGGCTGCGTGTACATGTGAGCATCCTCAGCTCTCCAGCTTTTATTGGTGACTTGCTCCTCTCTAGGCCCTGTGGACCGTGAGCAGAGCTGTGTGTGGCTCTCTCTGCACATCTGGACCCAGGAGGCCCATCTCCGTCCTCCAGTGAGGGGACTTCGCTATGTTGGAGCTTGAAGTTAACCACACATTTCACCTCCACACTTTGTGACATATCCTCTCAACTCAACCTGACAGTCATTGTGGAATATTCCGTTATAACAAAAATAAGCTTTACACGTGGCTAAAATTTTGGCAGCATGTGTGACCGGATTGCAATACTCAAGGCCCCCTGGAAGATATCATCTCGCATCTTTTGAATGATTATATAGTGGAATATAAAGGCTTGGTCTATCATATAACAGAAACGTGAACAGAAAATTTTAAATGATGCTAATTGGATTCTTAAAAGCCTCTTAAAAATTACGACTTCTGCCATTCATAGCATGCTTTAATACTAGAAATTATCTTTCATAGAGTATAATTTCATCAAACAATGCATTTTTTAATAAATCAGGTCTCCATGATATATTTCACTAGTAAGTGCTATAAATTCAATCTTTAAAATGATTAAAATACTTCAAACTCCCTGGGAAAAAAATGACTGTCCTTAAAAAACATAGCCAGGAGGACATGTATTTTCAGAATCTTGAATTTGTTTGCATGATAACTGCAATTACAAATCTGGAGTTTTTAATCTAGCAATCAGATGACAAGATGAGCAATTACCATTCCATGCTTAACTATTTTTATGATGACTTTTTTCCCAAAGCAGCTGTTGTAGTTAAAAACGCAAAGATTCTTATTTTTTCTTCCCATGCTACAGTATTTTAGCAAACAAATCTCTGTTTCCCAAAACATAAAGAGTCTGATTCTGAAGATGATGTAACACATGTGTACTTTCATAGAGTTTCCAGTGCTTAATGATCTTGTAGATGTGGGCTTTTATTTTTTTTAACCTCACAGAATGCTTAGTGTAGAATGGCTATCCAATGAGTAGTTCATGAATGGAGGAGTGAATGAGTAATATTTGGATTATTTGACTGTATCTTTCTAAAAGTGATTGTGTGTGTGTGTTTATGTGTTAGCAACTGGTAAAGAAAAGCCAAAATATTTACTGATGCTATTTTCTTTTCTTCCTTGACTGGCTGATGACATTAAAGAGGTAGATAACGTTCTCTGGAGAATTTCAAACAAGAGACACAAGTGTGCATTAGAGAGTTTGAGTCTCTGTGTTAATTACAATGTCAACTCAACAAAATACAAGGGAATGAGAAAGAGAGGATGATGGATAAATAAATAGATAAATACCATGATCAATGCTGATTTCAGATATTTTGTTTTCCCAGCAGACTGTTTTGGTTAGAACAGAGACATGTAAAATCTTATCAAAGAGCAGGCAGAAACTCTGATCAAAACTCTCACACCAACCCAGTCTTAGTGAATCCATCTAAAAAGATGCTTCCTTTATAACACCTTCACTATTCATCACAGGCATTGCTTGTTCCTTCCCTGTCTCTGTGTCTTACACTTACTTGCATCCTTTCTATTATTACTTGTTATGCTGACCTCCCCCCAAAATATTTGTTTGGCTGTTCTCCCAATAGCCTTATTGTAACTTTAATGGGTAAGACCAAGTTTTAATAATCTTGGCACCTGCTGTGTCTGGCATAATGTTTTTACCCAATGGAAGTTGTTGAGTTTGATTGAGGGAGGGTAATTATGTAACATACTCATACCTCAGCTGCTGTTACTTTAAGAAGATTTACAGTTTAAAAGTAAAATCTGAAGAAATCAAATTTTCCACTTAGGCTTCAGGACTGTTTCTGTAATTTTAATAGGTTTGGTTTTAATATATACACCAGGTCATCCTGGAAACAGAGATCACAGTGTAGAACTTGGCCATTCCTGTTTGTAGGAACTTTTTCTTAGTTTCTCCGTGACGTCTCAAAGTAGAGCTCTGTAGCAAGTTCTGACACATATAATGAGTCAACATATTCGTGACAAGCAGGTAACTTTTCCATTATAACTTTGTGTGCAAAAAAAGTATTTTGCCACCCACATAGTTTCAAATATGACATTAATGTGATTCATTGTAATCTCGTGTGCAGAAACTAGTTTCTTGAGAGCAATTACTAACCTATACAACAAAATTCTTAATCGGTCTCTGAAATCTTAGTACCGTTATTCAGTCCATGGGCACATTTAAAAATACACTTTCAAGGGTGCCTGGGTGGCTCAGTTGGCTGGGGGTCCAACTCTTGGTTTTGGCTCAGTCTTGATCTCATGGCTTGTGAGATCCAGCCCTGTGTCGGGCTCTGCATTCAGCCGAAGTCTGCTTGAGATTCTCTCCCTCTGCCCCTCCTCTCGCTCTCTCTCCCTCTCTCTCTCAAATAAATAAATAAATCTTTTATACTTTCAAATTTTAAAAATTTGTGGAAAATAAATTTTCATCGCATTTCAGTAGAATTATTCATCAATTCCCATCAAAGGTACTTTCATTTAATTTGTTTCAGCAATTCTCATAAAAATTTATCCTGACGGCAATTTTATAGGTGCCAAAGGATACGTCTATAAAATTCATGATATTAGGGTTACCAAAACTAGTAACAATTAGAAACCACCATCATATACAAGAGTAGTGGTTAAACTACATTAAACTGGTACAGTGGAATACAAGGGAGGTATTTTAAATGACATAGAAATATTTTCGTGAATTATGATAAAGGTTAAAACATCAGGTTGCAAAACTATGCAGGCTCAACCCCTTTTTGAAATATAATACCTAGATGAAAAAAAGGGAGAGAACATCTCTCAGTATTGCTGCCACATCTTTAGGTAAAAAAATGGTCATGGTTTCTACTGTCTTATTTGTAGCTATATGTACTTTCTGACTCTCTGTAATAAACACAGATTGCTTTAGCAGTAAGGCAAATAAAAGCTTTCACTGATATTTACACAGATTCTTTCCCATGGTATTAATAACAACAATTCCCCTAGTGTAGGAATAGCAGATACTCCACACTCAAGAGACCCCACTCAAAAATTTCAGCACTTTGCCCTAAGTAACCTTGATGGAACCTTATTTTTTCTCCACACTGGGCTCTTAATTATCCATTAATCCAAGCTAGCATGAGAGGTGAAACCTGTTTGCCAATTCTATTCTATCAAACAAAACAAAACAAAACAAAACAAAACAAAACAAAACAAAACTCTGTCCCTGGGATTGAAATTCTCTTGTTGCATTCCAGTGTTTTATATAATAGTGTTTTAATTTCTCCGCTCAAAAAAAACTTATCTTTCCTTCCAAGGAAGTAATGTAGACTAATAAAATGGTAGATGGGAGGCCAGATGTCTTTCCTGGAGAAAAAAAAATTAATGCTTTAAATAAGCTTCATAGTTCTTGTTCATACAAGATCAGATACAGATGCAAAGGCCTCTGGATTAGAACTTTCCTTTTATCTCCCCCCCCAAAAATATATCAAACTTTATCTTTTGTGGATAGCAAGTCATGTGATTTGACTATTCTTCCAATGGATGGTTAGAACAATAAATATGTTTTAACATAATTCTTCTTGGTATTAAAGTCCAAGGCCTCACCCTCGTAAGGAAAGTGGTCTAGGACCCTAAAACTAGTGGATGGAAATATAGAATAAATGAACTGAATTTACTTAAAACCTTTATCAAGGCAGCCCACTTCCATTGCCTGGCTAGTCATCTTCGCTTGTCAAGAAGTCCCTTATATGTAGTATATTCAGTTTGGGTGGGTATGGGGCAGAGCTAGTCAAGTGAAATCTATCTGGGTTAAAAACAAAATCATTCCTCCGATTATTTCTCTCTTCATAAGGTACACTCATCTCAAAATCTACATGTTTTTAAACTCATTTTTTCCACTGGTAATTAATTGAAAGGGGGGAACAAAGTTGCTCCCTATTTTATGACAATTTAGCATTTGATCTTACATCTCCTTTTCTCCCCAGAATAATTCATATTCCTCTTCCTGAAGATGATACCTCTTTCTTATTCCCAGGCATTTATAAAAACACTCTCACTGAATTTCACTTAAGATCTGTGTGATGCTCCTTTGGCTTTCAAAAAAAAACCCAGAGATACACTTGGGTTCTCTCTGTGCATTGTGTTTCTCGTAAAAAAAATCCCTGACAGGTCTTAGCAGCTGCAGAACTGGAAGGCTGTTCCCTCTGTCAGGAAGTGACAGTGGCTTGCATTCCAACATCTTCTCTGAGGTGACCCAAGAGCAACCACCCTGGCGCGCCCTGCTCACCCCTCAGTGTTCTTGGCCCCACTTCTCTCACTAAGTGTGGTCTTCCTCCTCTGTCGCCGGTGACATCTTGCTTCCCCCTTCCCCTGTCATGGCTTCTGCTTGCTTTTCTCTCTGTGCTTCTTTGTTCCTGCTCTGCTCTATTGTATGTCACCTCTCTGTGTGTCTCATTCAGACTCCTCAACAAAGAGCATCTTACCCCCTCGTACCACATGGAGAACACTCAGGAAGCAGCAGGCTTCTTAGGACTTAAATGGCTGCCTTTGTGTCAGGTGTCCATCCTCCTGCCTATTAGATGTGTCTGTGTTCCAGAAACTCTTCAGAAATGGCCATGGATTCAGCACGTGTTTCTTCCACCACGTGTCTGGTAGCTCAGTGTCCTAGATTATTCTGCGAGCTGCAAGGTGGTGTGGCACTTAACGTAATATGAAGAGGCTTCATTGCTTGTTTCCTGTCATTCAGAGATGGCATACGGGGGTTTCAGAAATCAGAGGAAGAAGGAAGTGTCATAGTTTGAGAAAATGTTGAAAAATGTAGGGGCTCACAATTTGCCTAGTCACATGAACCTTTGAAATAAATGCAACATAAGATCCGGCCCTGGGTTTATTTAAAATCATTACATAGGGGTGCCTGGGTGGCTCAGTGGGTTAAAGCCTCTGCCTTCAGCTCGGGTCATGATCTCAGGGTCCTGGAATCGAGCCCCGCATTGGGCTCTCTGCTCAGCGGGGAGCCTGCTTCCTCCTCTCTCTCTTTCTGCCTGCCTCTCTGCCTGCTTGTGACCTCTGTCTGTCAAATAAATAAATAAAATCTTTTAAAAAATAAAATCATTACATAAAATGCATCCTGATTATAGATGGTTATGCTGGAGAATATTGTCTCATTACTGAAAAGAACTGGTAGGTTTCAATAATTTGACTTGTTCAAAGTTTATACAGGTTTTTTTGGCAAGAAACATTCCCTGTCTTGACATGGGTGGTGGTTACAAGGGTATGTACAAACAGGAAAAAAAATCCTTGCGCTGGACACTTAAGCTTAGTGTACTTGATGCATTCTATTTGATTTTACTTGGCATTTGCTATCCTTCCATTTGAAGGACATTGCATGATTTCCTTCTTCTTTCCCAACCCTATCTTGGCCAAATCTTCTCCAGCTTGAGGCTCTAGCTTAAACAGGCCCTACACTGCTCGATCTTCTCTTCCTGTCATTCTACCCCACATCCGTCACCTTTTCTGAAGTACTTCTGATCTGCTTCTGTCTTCATCGGGTACACTTACTTCAGTAACTCATGTCTTTCTGTTACTGCCTACTTACCAGTATACTTCCTAAAGGCAGGCATCATCCTTCATTTTGCCTTTATGTCTCCATGACAGCCAGCACAGGACTTAACTCATAGTAGGATTTCACTAAGGACATGACTCCAGGGGGACACCTGTGTGGCTCAGTCAGTAAGCCTCTGCCTTTGGCTCAGGTCATGATCCCGGGATCCTGGAATCGAACCCCGAGTCAGGCTCCCTGCTCAGTAGGAGGTCTGCTTCTCCCTCTCCTTCTGTCTCTCCCCCTAGCTCCTGTTCTTTCTCTTTCCCTCTCACAAATAAATAAAATAAAATTTAAAAAAAAAAAAAACAAAAGAGGACATGACTCCAGGAATGTCAGAAATGCCAGGAACCATAGAGACCCATGGCCCTTTATTCTTTCTGAAGGAGATAGCTGATACACAGGGTGTGTGTAGGGAAAGACGAACCAGCACGAATTTTTTTGTTATTAATAAAAATTTTACAATTTTATTTTTTTTTACTTACGTTAAATGCGTAGACATAAGATGAAATCAACCATCTTTGAAGTCTACAATTCCTTCACCATATTGTGCACCTACCACCTTTATCTGGTTCCCGCACATTTTTATCAGCCTAAGAGAAAACCCTGTACCCATTAAGCAGGCTCCTCTGCTTCTTCCCCATCCCCAGCTCCTGGCAACGGCTAATCTGCTTTCTGTCTCCATGGATTCGCCTATTCTGGACATTTCATATAAATGGAATTATACAATATGTGGCCTTTTGTGTCTGGCTTCTTTCATTTAGCATAATGGTTTTGAGGCTCATCCGCCAGGCATCGTGTATCGGGGCTTCATTGCTTTGCATGGCTCAAATACTAGCGTTTTTGAGCACGAACAAAGCAGCAGATACCGTGCCAGCTTCTTTCCATATGTAACCCCATGTAGTCCCCCGTAGCAGCCCCAAGAAGCATAAATAGTATTATCTTGATTTTACAGATCTGAATACTAAGGTTCAAAGAAGTGATGTCTCTAGCCCCTTTGGAAAGTGAGCCAACCAGCCCATCTGGTCTGGGATCCACATTCCTGACCCAAGTGTCCCTCTTGCTAGGATCCTTACCTCACATCTGGGTCTGTCTGTGCATTCCCTGCTGACATATTAGTGACACAGCCTGAGATTTCGGAGTGGGCCACCCAGACCCTTGTCTATGGATAAACAAGACCCTTGTCTTGTTTGAAATCACCTGTTAGTTCTCAATACAGATACTTCACAGAAATGTCCATTGCTCTCCAGTGGTGGGTAAAGTTTCAGACCCTTGAAACCTGAAAGCAATTTTCCGTCAGTGCCTGGTGATCACCAGAAAAGGAGGTCTCCTCCAGCTTTGTTTAAACTGCTGAAAAGAGGGGGTGCTCTGAATATGTATGAGCATCACGGAGGCAGCAACAGCAGAGGTGAATTTTAGTAATTAATTCATTAGGCCAATTTATTTCTCTAATTGGTGGTGAAGATTTGTCAACTAGGAGATAGTAAAAACAATTAAAAATTTTAAAAAAACTTGAAACTTAGTGGAGTTTGAGTATTAATGATGCACAGAGAGATGAAAGCAGACAGGAGGCCCTAATTATTTCTCAAATAAGTGTTTAAATATTTACAAATTGCATTTCAATGAAACTCATTTTTATTTTTATAGGCATGTGCTTGTCTCCATTTGGGCTGGGATATTGGTTCCAAACACAAGTCCGGAGGGCCCCTTCACAGTTGGAGGGTAGCATTCTTAACCTTGCGTTCATAACCACTCCAGGGGGACAGGGAACACCTTGAAATTACCTGGAAAATGTTCCATGTGTGCATTTTTCTGTGATGGGAACGCAGAGCTTTTTGTCAGATTCTCAGTCTAGGAACCAGTACTTCACAGTTTTCTCCCTGACCCCCTGAAGTGGCAGCCAGCTGACAATGTGGGACCCTAACTTTCTCTGCGATGGGAAGAGGGGCTTCTGTCATCCCAAATACCCTGACGGCCAGCTGGCCCCTTAGCAGGGACTTGGAGCCCAGCCTCAGAGAGGCTGTCCCTCTACACCTTCCACATGTCCCTCTCTTACTAGTAAACCAAACCAAACCAAACCAAACCAAACCAGAGACTGCAGCAAACACAGGGGCCCGTAGGTGAAGGTTAACACTGGAACCAGGCAGCTACCGGAGAGTTTTCTGCAGAGAACAAGAGTGAGCAGAGCCTTGTAACTCAAAGTGTAGCCCATAGACCAGCAGCAGCAGCAGCAGCATCCCCACCCTGTCCCCCACACCCCTCACTACCCCCCACCCCGCCGAGTTTGTTAGAAATGTAAAATCTCAGGCCCCACCCAGATCAGCTGGATCAGAATCTGCATTTTTAGCTGGCTGCCTAGGGATTCCTAGACCCAGTAGAGTTTAAGAAACACTGGTCAGGCTGGTGTGCTCATCTGGACACCACTCTCCATTCTCAGCATGGCTCCTTGTCCTCCATCTCCTGTAGGAAGCCACATCCTCTCTCATCGCCCTGATTCTAGCTCCTGCTGGTCCCTGACGTCAGTTAAGGAAGCCGCAGTTTCTAATGCCTGTGATGTCCCCTCCAGCCTCTGTCTGGTGCACACACTCTTGTGGCTGCCTTTCCTTGGTGGTGCTGTGATAGGAAGAGAGAAAGGGGGCGCCTGGTGGCTCAGTTGGATGAAGTGTCCTGCTCTTGATTTCAGCTCAGGTCATGATCTTACGGTCATGAGATTGAGCCCCATGTTGGGCTACATGCCGGCTGTGAAGCCTATTTAAGATGCTCTCTCTCTCTCTCCCTCTGCCCTTTCCTCTGCTCACTCTTGCACACGTGTGTGCTCTCTCTGTCTCTCAAATAAATAAAGAGAAGAAGAAGAGAGAAATGAATTGGGAGATTCAGTTCTCCAATCCCTTCTCCATGGGCCATACAACCATAAGCAGGTCATGGCCTCCTGGGCCTTGTTTCTTCATCTTCAACCTTCACAGGGTTGTGGTAAGGATCAAAGATGCTGAAAAGCATATTGTGCCTGGTTCCCAAACTGTTTCTTTTATTTTTTTAAAGCCACTTTATTGAGGTATGTGTGACATGCAAAAATATATTCCTGTTCAATGTGTCCAACTTGATAAGTTTGGGGACAGGTAGGCACCCATGAAGCTACCACCACCAACCAGGTTATATATATATATATATATGTATATATATATATATATCCATCACCTTCCAAAGTCTTCTCCTGCCTCTTTTTTATTATTATCACTGTTATTCTTGTGTTATTATTATTTTATTATTTTATCATGGTAAGAACATGTAATGTAGGGTCTACTTTCCTGGCAAATTTAAAGTGTACACTACAGCATCGTTGGCTGTTGGCACTGCTCTGTGTGGTACATCTCCAGAACTTACTCAGCTCTCTGGAAAGGCAATGAATTGGGAGCTAGCGAGTATGCTTTTCTTTTCTTCTTCTATTTTTTTTTTTTTTAGATTTTATTTATGTATTTGTCAGAGACGGAAAGAGCATGCAAGCAGGGGGAGTGGCAGGCAGAGCAGGAAGTAGGTTCCCCACTGAACAGGGAGCTGGATGTGGTACTTGATCCTTGCGCCCTGGGATGACCTGAGGGTGACCTGGGATGACCTGAGCTAAAGGCAGACGCCCAACCAACTGAGCCACCCAAGCATCCCAACGAGTCTGCTTTTCTTATAGCTGATCAGGCTCTGACTAGTTTTGTGTGAGTTTAGGTAAGTCTCTTCCTCTTTGTCTCCTGGCTTATAAAATGAGACTTTGACCACCATGCTGTCATATCTTTCCTGACCCTGTCATTTTATGTATTA